ACAAAATACTCATTTGCCTAATAATTCTGCACTCCCTGTACTGTTTTACTGTAGTCCATGACGCGCTTACCTTCAGGGTCATACGTCACATGAAGACCAAAATAGTTCCAAAGGCCAGATCTGAATGAGGGTGGGGGAGGTTCAATTTGCAATGTTGCTACGAGAGCTTAACTTCTGTCTCGCTAGCTTGCCCTGCGCTCAGTGAATCTGCGTTCGACTACTCCGCCGAGGCTACACTGTCGAGCGCAGATCCACAGAGGGCTCAACACAGACAGCAGAAGGAAAGTTGATAAAATAAATTAAAAATGTTGTATTGTTCGATACATATGCATACCGAACCGAAAGCACTGTATAGAACGGTTCAATATCGATACAAGTATCGTTGCACCCCTAAGACATACATATCTAATTCAGAGTTGGTTTCTCCTTAACCTAACTCAGTGAGAGGTCAACATGCTTTAACCATGTATCCTTAGTTCACATGCTAAATTGACACAAATCTGCAGCTTGTATTTACGATGTTTATATTATTATTTAGTATAAAATAGAGATGGCACGATACCACTTTTTTATGTCCAATACCGATATCATAATTCTGGATATCTGCCGATACAGATATGAATCCGATATAGTGTATTTTTAATCAATAAAACTGTTTTTTTAATATCTTGCTGCATTTTGTATAAGTTAATACTCAAGTTTAAATAAACAAAACACTAAAGCTATTCTGTTATACTGTATGTAAAAAATGCACTGCACCCAAAATATTTCATAGTTCAGCAAAACTGATCAATCTAATAAACTTAAACCTGCTCCATCCTCCCTATTCTGGTATTTTAAAGAGTACTTAGCAGAAATATTAAGCAACCTAACTAATAGGGCTGCAAACTCCCAGCAAAAAAAATAAAAAATAGGGACCCACCCCCCACCCTCCACCTCATGATGCTTAATCGACGTAATCAACTTTAATTTGATGCAGTGTGAAAAATAATGCACAGAAATCAATTATTTTTCAAGAAATATTAAATAGATTCAACATCTTTCTTCAACAGAACTGCAGACTGCACAGATGGTACCTTCCCAAAGGAAAAAGTAGTATAGCTTACTAGGGTATATGTATTAGACTTAACAGTTACTATATACAGTAATGGACTTCTATTCATTTTACATCAAATTAAAACTTTGGGTGTCAGATAATTATTTAGTAAAAGCTCGACATTTTAAATGAGAATAAGAAAGAGAAGTATGTCTTTGTGCCCCCTTTTCCCTGTTCATGCCCTCTTGGCCCCCCTGGCTAAACTTTGCTAGATCCGCCCCTGCACAGTTACCAGCCGTCAGCTGTAGAAAAAGATCCTGGTGTAGAAAGTAATATTAAATACATTCTAACAACAGCTGATCAAGCTTAAACGTGCTGCTGTTGTTCAGCTGCTGGTTTCTTTCTGGTGCAAAGTGGGCCAAAAACAAAGAAGAGAGACGGACTCGCGACAGAAAAGCCGATCAGCTGATCATTGATCAGCTTCATGATTGAAGTAGCAGCAGGAGAGGCAGTCGCTCCATATATCAGTTGATAAGCTTAACATGGGAATGCTTTACAAATAGAGATGAACTTACACACTTGCTTTACTTCTCTCTGGGATCACTTCCTTGGAGATGAAATGCTGGTTTGAGGCTACAAATACACACAGCTGCTCTATCACGTGACCACACTGCTCCCACGTGCTACGGTTATGAGCCCAGTTACGCCAGGTCGCAAGTTTTGTGAGGTGCTTTTTTGATATTTAATGGATCAGATTACATTTTTTATTTTTCTCCGATATCCGATCCAGTAATTTACGTCAGTATCGGACCGATACCGATACGTAATATCGGATCGGTCCATCTCTAGTATAAAATAAGACATGCTGATTGGGTCATTCATTGGCTAATTAGGGCTAAAGTACAGCTGAGACTTGTAGTTAGTTTTCAATGAGATAAAAGGTAGTGATGGTGCTAAAGTTGGGGACATCACAAAAATTTGTCAAATTTTTAAAGCATATGAATGACTTCACCAAACCCACAAACTAGTGTCTAAGTACTTGTAACTGAGAATCCTTAAATGAATGTTTCAAATTGTAGTGCAGAGCACATACTGACACTTATGTAATGCTAATAATATGAGTAACTGACTCTCCAGGGTAAGAGGGTGGTGAGTGAGAGGCCTGAGAGAAGGCCGGGCCCTGTGGACGTCAAGAGCCCCGCCGATGATGGACAGGCGAGGCGTGTGGAGTCAGCGGGGAGGGCGAAGCAGCCATCTCACATGACCAAGAGAGACTCAGCACCACAGGTCCGACTCACGCACACCGAACACTCCTGCCTGCTTCCACTCTCACTCCCTCCCCCCTCCCTTTGTTTATTCTCACATGCTGCACCGACGTGTTTTACATAGATATGAGACATGTTGTCTGGCCCATCCCCTCCATCCCTGTGATGGAGCATAATGGTTTGTTGACAGGAGATGGACCGGGCTGTGACTGACTGGTGTGAGATTAGGAAAGGAGAGGGTGGCTAATAGAGCTGTGGGTTGAACAGATGCTCTGCATAACTAAGTTTTGAACCTTTTTGAGCTGTTTTTACACACACGCTGCAGCTCTGATCTTCTCTAGATGTCACTCGACAAAGGTACGTGTGAAAAATTCAATTCAGGCAACTTCCTCGAGTAAACCGCATGAAGAATTTCCTGTCATCTCCTGCTGTGTGTTTCACGTGTGAAAGGGAAACTGAGGAATATACCTTGACCCGAATCTCCCAAAATCATCCACAGTTAACTTTTACAAGTTACTCCGGTTTGCTTGAGATGCCATATTTAATGCAGGCAGGGACTCGTGTGCCCCTGCCATCGTCTGTGAAATGCAATGTGACCTTAGCCTCCCCTCCCATCCCCCCAGAAAGTCTGGAACAGCTGCTCTGCCTCAGTCTGAAGCCTGACGCAGACACACACACTCACAGACTGAAATAAATAAGCTGATGCACAGGCAGCTGATCCTCGCCACTGTAAACACAGACACAATCTGGTCATAGGGTGGGGGTGGGGGGGTGGGAGGGAGGGGACATGAAAGCAGGAGTTGCAGAAGTACAGGTTCAGTCTAAAATGTGCATCTCTGCTACCGATTGGCCGATACACTAAGTGCTGCTCACTGGGCGTCTGGGTTAATGTGCACTGAATCTGTGGGCTGAACACATTGTTCTTTTTGCCTTTATTTCTGGCCCACTAGGTCTGTGCCCCCCCCATTTATCATGTGGACTGAATCAGCACTTGAACAGTAGCCAGGGCTCCAGTGCACCAGTCATCTGTGAATCCCAGAGACCTGGTTTACGTAACCTGTGTCATTTCACTAGGTTTATATGAGAGCAGCGGAGGAGAAAGCTGCTAAAGGGTGATACCGTAGGAGAACATACCATGGATCCATCTGGCATGCTTTAAAAAAATATTTGCGTTGGTTCACGCTGAGGTGCACATTGCTACTGCACTGCCCTGCCTCTGAAATAATTATCTGATGGGTATGTGTGTGTGTGTGTGTGACAGAGCGAGAGACACCCTGGAAATAAATAATGACTCTTTGAGAGACAGGGGTGTGGCTGTGCAGCGGTGTCTCATGCAGCCTGGAGGAACCTCATGACCAGACTGCTCACGCTCACGAGAGAGAGTGACAGGGGTAAGGAAATGCAGTCGGACGGAGAGGAACAGAGGGGAGGGTGAGAGAGAGAGAGACGCTTGGCAACCGTGCCATCTGTTTCAATCTCCCCTCATTTCTTTTTCCTGAAACTTTAAGTGGTCCACACTCCTCTGGCACGATTGTTTCCCTATTCCCACCATCCTGAAAGGGCCGATTTGATCTAATTAACATTCAACTGCCTTCTCACTCTGAAAAGGCTCATTATGCGAAGAGACAGACCTGGCAAGGTGCCAAGAAAAAGGGAGAGGAAGACGGAGTAGTGGGATGAGAGAGAAAAGAGGTACCCGGGGGTCTTTGTGTATGTGTGAGCTATACTCTCTCTGGATGTGGGCGTGTGAATGATCGTGTGGGCGTCCCAGCCCGTAGGTGTGTTACCAGCCCACTCGCTCTCCCCGGTGCCTATTGTCCCCATCCTCCCTCAGCTGTTAGAGTGTTGCTGTTAATAGCAACATGACTCATCCTCTGTGTTCACCAGAGCGCATCATTGAAATCAGAACTACACCAGAATAGAAATTAGCACAATTCTGTACCTCTAATAAGCTGTGTTTGATTTGCAAACCGCCAGGTGGTTTCCAAGGTCAGCTACCTGCTAACTGCAGTCTGCCCCTGTGCAGAGTGGACAGAAATTACATTATAATTGAAGCTGTTGTGCCAAGTTGTGCCATTACACTTTAAGACCACTGGGTGGCAGTCTAGACCTCTCAGTCCTTCCTAATGGATGAGTCAGTGGCCTGATTGTGACAGCAGCAAAGCGATTCTTTACAACAGTGTTTAATTAGCGAGCAACAAGTTGCTGTGTCACACTTATAACTGCTAAGCTCATCTTTTAATTTCTCCTCTCTGACAGGATGAGGTCAAACAGGGGCAGAAGCACACTGAGGAGCATCACGGGGTGTCAGAGCAATGCCAGGTAAATTAAAAAAACCCTCATACACAGATGTAAACATTTAGATGCTGTGTGTCTAACCTCTCTCAGCTCAAAGGACTGCAGTTTCAGCTCATCGTGACCACGTAATTTGCTGATGATCAGTCAGTGAAAACAAGGTTTTCACCAACACTACGTTAGCATACAAAGCACAGAGAATAGCAAATGCAAATATGCGCTCTGTCCACATCACAAACACACGCAGACAGCACAACACGTTGCCGTGCACGTGCCCCTTTTCCTAGCGCTTCTTCCCATCTGCCTCCCGCTGGCTTGCATGTCAGCCTTGCTGGAGTAGCTCAGAGCTGTCTCACAGATCTGGTGTGCGATAAGCAGCCTGACTGGGGAGGCAGGAAGGATTGGCTTCAAAGGCACGGCGGATTCTCCACATGACAAGTGATGCTGTTCATGCCTCTCTGGCTGCTGCAGTCCTGGCCTACACAGATTTCAAGGAAATACCATGTAGATTTTTTTTTCTCATCATGTTGTAAAGTTGTAAAGTGGGGCAGCATGGTGGCACGGTGGTTAGCACTGTTGCCGCACAGCAAGAAGGTCCTGAGTTCAATTCCAACATCAGGCCGGGGTCTTTCTGTGTGGAGTTTGCATGTTCTCCCCGTGTTTGCGTGGGTTCCCTCCGGGTACTCCGGCTTCCTCCCACCGTCCAAAGACATGCAGCTTGAGGGGATAGGTTAATTGGAAAATCCAAATTGCCATTGTGTGAATGTGCGAGTGAATGTGAGTGCGAATGGTTGTCTGTCCCTGTGTGTTGGCCCTGCGACAGACTGGCGACCTGTCCAGGGTGGACCCCGCCTCTCGCCCTATGATAGCTGGGATAGGCTCCAGCGCCCCCCGCGACCCTGAAAAGGATAAGCGGAAGCGAATGGATGGATGGATGGATGGATGTTGTAAAGTGTGTTACACTTTTGTGTAACAAATATACCATATGGACCTAAATCAGTGCAGCTTTTGGAAGCTCAACTGTCACTGAGAGTAAGATTATGATCTCAGCAACTGGCCAGGTTCACTTTGTAATATCCAACATGCCTTCTTTGGCTCCTGGCAAAAAATTAAAAAAAATTTTAATTAGCAGCTGGGGCGGCAGCAGATCATGGCCTGTTGGAACATGTGAAAACCGTCTTCCCGTGTGACCCCTGATGTCCTCTGAGGGCCAGCACAGAGCAAGGAGAGACGAGGTGGAAAACAGGATGAGGACAGATGCCATGTTCTCCAATAAGTGTAGGCAGGAGGGCAACATGTTTACTTCAATTTGATTGGCCCTCACCTGAGGGGAAAACATGACCTGTCATAGCTTCTTACCAGCACTGTGTTGCATCTCTTTTTCTCTCACGGTTGTAGCTGCTGCTTTGAGCTTCAATACAGATTTTTATGGTCATTCCTGGTACTCAGAAATCCAACAAATGTATTTTTTTTCTAGACATCAGCACGCTCTCTCAGAAACTGCTGGTCTTTTTCGTGACATCTCTAGTCTTGGTTTGCTTGAAGGCTTTATAACACAAGCAGCTTCTGCCCTTTCTGATGTGTTAATGAGCCTGTATCAGATCTCCTTTTACTATTAGCCAGCAATCCTCTCTGCTCTCATCACAGTAATCAATAAATAGGTTAAGAGGGGAATGGAGGAAGAGCTTCTAATTGTATTTGCTATAAACTGTACTTTTCCTGGAACACTGATCGGTATTTACCCAGGGAGGCAGTGGTTAGCACTTAAAGTTATGCAAAATACATCAACGTAGCAGAAATACACACATTTGTGGTTCCCACAGATCTGTATATGTATCCATTATTATAAGTTTATACACTGAAATGCTGTCTTTTGCATGCGCATAGGATATCGAGAACCTGCAGGCCATCACAGACCTCAACGTCCCCACATCGAGAGAGGAGCAGGAGGAATATTTAAGGTGGAAGAAGGAGCGTGAGCAGATTGACAGGGAGAGGGTGGCACGCCATAAAAATGCCAAGGGCCAGTGGAGACGAGCGTGGGACATGGATAAAACTGACAATATGTAAGACTTTTTAAAGAGTTAAAGGTTTACATTCATATTCCCATTGGCTGTAGCTGTTAAAGCTGAAGGACTAAAAAAGAAATAAAATAATAACATTTTAAACCAAAATATGGCAAAATATGAAGTTCAGAGATCAGTGAAATACTGTGGAGCTGATTTTCAGATGCATCTTTGTTCTAGCACACCTGAATTAAATGAATGGCTTGTTACCAGGCCTTTGCTAAACTTGATTGCTGAAGAAGTAATTCCACCATTAGATTCAGCTGTGCTGGAGTAGGGATGCATCTAAAAGCTGCAGGACAGTGGCTCTCGAGGACTGGAGTTGGAGACCCCTGATTTACAGGATGAGTAGCTGCATTTTGAACCATCTGTGACTGAAAAAGACTAGAATTGGGTAATCCTATAAATAGGGAGTTACAATAATCCAACTGGGAGGTGATTGAGTCGTGGATAACTGTTTCTATATCTGTAATTCTGTGATGGTTTAAAGCTGCTGTTCACAAAACTACTTCTTTGTTTGTTAGAGGCTGAACTATCCAGGATTTTAAGTTATAGTTTAACTATAGCGCTTGATAAGCCAAATAAAGTTTTGCTGTCATTTAGTTGAAAATGTTGCCAGGACTCCAGGATTTTAGATTGTCCAAACAATTCAACTTAATTGAATTTTATTTATATAGCACCAAATCACAACAACAAAGAGAACCCCAACAGTCAGACCACCCACTATGAGCAAATACTCGGCAACAGTGGGAAGAAAAAACTCCCTTTTAACAGGAAGAAACATTATGCTTTGCAAAGAGAGTCTAGGGGTAACATGTATAATGAAATGGAGGTCAAGTAAGCAGTACAAATTCCTCTAACGAACAAAAAAGTCCATGTTGGGTTTGGAGGTCAAACAGTGGACTGTCACTTTTAAGTACTAAGATATTTTCAGTATGCAGTACCATGCAGGCTAAAAATGGTCTTATTAGCACTAAGGCCTTTTTTTTTTAAGTTATTAGTTTTGTAGATTTCCCCTTTTCACTTTTAAATTCTTCCTTCACTGAAAGGCTCACTTCACTTAGGCAGATGAAGAGGAGAAAATAACCCCGGAGAACATTGTGCCTCTTTGTAGTTAAATTATTCAGTGAAGAATCCATTAGATGAGGTTTCTGGATGTTGTGCATGTTCTAACACATGATTGCAAGGCTGATTGTCACCAAGTCACAGGACGATGTTACACAGCTAAAACATTACCAAACAGTTACTTATGTATGCCTAATATAACTTTTTTCATGTGAAGGAGTTCATGAGCTACATTTCATACAGCGTTGCAGGCTGCTGCCCACATTGGTGGGGGAAATCACACGATAGCACCCCAAACTGACCGCGGGAAAGAAATACAACTCGTTTATTGTGAACTGTTTGTTAGATTTCAAACAAACTGAGCTGTGGCTGTACAAAGACTGACCAAGTTGCAGAGTAAATTAATGTGCTGTTTAGGGTAGTATCCAAATGTAAAGGCACAAGGAAAGAGCAGCTATTTTTAGCTGGGGGGTTAGGGATGGAAATGCCTTGCCTTATTTGGCGAAGCATTAACAAGGCTCCCGAGAAAGAACAGAAGAGGAAATGTGTTTTTGATTCGACAATTTACGCGGTTTCAGAGGATGTCGAATGTAGGAATGGAATCTCTGCACAATCTTAAACTCTAGGCCCACAATGATATACTGAAATGTCCGTTTATGTTGTGCAGATGAGATGTTATAGTGCCTGAGGGGGGAAGAGATGAATGATTTTGGAACATGATAGAGATATTAGTCACACTGGGTTTTGTTACTGTCTAAAACTAAACCTCTGCTTCTAGGTTTTCAGACAAATCCCTCTCTGACAGAGACTGGGGGCCTTCCAGCAGAGGTAAGACAAAAGACACAGACCTTACTGAGAACGTAAGGAGTAAGACGCTTCATAACAAATCATAAATAAGACATATCACATTGCTGCAGGAGGAAGAAATGCTAGAAGAGGACCCAGGGCAGGCAGCGATTCAAAAGGTATTCCCCACATAATTTAGTGAACAGTTAAATCCCATAAAATACTCTTATAGTGTTTAGACTTTTAAACTTTTGGTATTTTTCTGACCTAGCTCATGACAAGCGAGGCAAAGACAAGGGAGCTAAAAACGTGCAAGTGATGAGCAGTAAAGCAAAAGGCAAAGATCGCCTGACTGGGCGGGCCAGAAGGTCAGTAACAGCTAAACACAATGGGCTGCTGGCAAAGGTGATTCAACCATCAGAGCGTTTTTCAACATAGCTTCAATTAGCGGTTACAAGAAACATCGGCATGACTAATGCAGTACGTAAAACGGATGTGGAAAGACATGCTGTTTTTCTGCACTGTGCCCTAATGTACAAATTCCCCTGGATGTCATGAGACTTAATTTAGAAGTGGTGGCAGCTGACTAAATAACCCAGAAGGTCGCATTCTGTCCCCCCCTCCACAGTTTCTCCTCTGCTGTGAAACACCACTTGATGGTGAGCAGGCCGTCTAGCCAATCTGGAGCATGCAGCCTGTTGACATCACATTTTGGGGTCATCTCAGATTGCTTAGAACCCCATCAAGTACTAAACAAATACCTGGTACTAAGTACTACACCTAATGAGAAAACCCTAAAAACCAAGCTGAGCCGATCTGAGTAGGTGCTGGTGGAAAAGGCCATATGTGCGCTGTAATGCAATCATAATGTCCAAAAAATTCCACAGCCACAGAGCTGAAATTGAGGCACTGTGTGGACTTGGAGTGAGAAAGATTATTTTATGTCTCTGTAAAAGTAGGTAAGGATTTGGAGGGGGGCTCTGTAAAACAGCACTCGGGTGTGAGATTCCTGTTATCAGGCTGTGCTGCTGTTACAGTTGCCAACAGATTTGAGTGTGGGCAAAGGCAGCCCACAGGCCACCAAAGCCATTTTCACACATACACTGCAGCTCTCGATGTTTCTGGATATTATCCAAATGGAGGTGCGTGTGAGAACTTTAATGTCTGATGTAGCTGAATTAAACATGAAACAGTGTTAAACAGTCTTTAGCTCACCAGTTCCTTAGTACAAAGTTGGTGCGATTTCCTATCGCTGATGTGAGGAAAAAAGGGAAAATGTAATAATTGGCTAAATTCACAGCTAGCAAGTGGTCATCTCGTGCTCTGCTGCATGCTCTACCCAGACAGCACCCTTACCTAAAACACACAAAATCCAGTATTGAGTCTACATGTGACAAAGGGCAACTGAGGACAGTGTCCCAGCCTGAGTCTCTTGACACTGTCTGGAGTTCATGCATGAAAAGCCATTACAATCACAACAACTGAGACCGGTGTGTGTCTGTGCCTCGGAAGGCTGAGCCCCAACCTCAAATCACAGCTCTTGCTTTCCACATGTCCTTGGACAATCACCTGATATGACTCCCAGTGGTCATCACCTTTCATGGTGTAGTCATTGGTTTTTGAGCAAGTATGTGACTGAGAAGCAAATGCTGTTATAACACTGAAATGGCCTGCAGCAGTCTCGTCTGACCCATTAGGTTATACTCGTGGAATCTCTGAGGGCGACCTGTAAATAGGGCTTATTGCTGCACATCCCACAGATGCTCAGTCAGACCATTTGAAGGCTAACTGAGAGCTTTGTGCTCTTTTAATGTCAAAGAAAAAAACTAGTCCTGAACTGTTTTTGCTTTGTGGTGTGACATGTTGTCCTGCTAAGGGTGAGATGCTGTGGTGCCATTGTAGAAAGCTTGTGTGCTTCTTCTGCGGTAATGTTTAAGTGGGCGGTATGTGTCAAAGTACCACACGAATGCCAGGACCTAAACTTTGCCAGCTGAACGTTGCATTGTGATAAAATGATCTGTGTTATTTACTCTTGTTGCTGATTGTTATATACAATATTGCAGCATGCTATAACTTGCAAAGAAGAGATTCACAACACACTGCTTTTTTGTTTCTGAATACCCTTTTTTCAGATGGCAGGCAAATGATGATGGAGAGAACCTGCAGGTGAGAGGTGAAACCTCTTTTGACCCTGCTATAAAGTGAATAATAAAAGACATCCATTTAGCAAGAAACACTCCTGTTTGTCGCTTTGATCTCATCTTTTAGATGCCTGAGACGACGCTGGAGGAATTCCTTGAGGAACTTGATGCCCTCACAGACGCTAATGCAGACGAGCTGAAAGATCAGGACGCAAAAACAAAGCAGTCACCGAGCCCGGATTCACTGAGCACGCCCGAGGAAGCGAGTGAATCAGCAGCCTCTGTGTCGGCTGTTATCCTTAGAGAGGACACCCCGACTCAGGAGAAGGCAGAGGCTTCGTCCTCTCGGGGTTTGGAGAAGAAAGTGCGCTTCTCTGAGGAACTCATCCAGGGGGCTCATGCAAGGCAAACCACGGGGTCTCAAGAGTCAGAATCCAGAGGTCCCAGCTCTTTGAAAGCTTCCTCACCTAAAAAGAACAAGCATGAAATGCAGAGGCCACGTCAGCCTCTTGAAAGTGCCAAGCAGGATGATGGGAGTCTTCAGGATAAAGGAGGTGGGCCAGCTGCACCTTCTTTTGCACAGCAGCAGGGATCTGAAAATGATTGCACTAAAAAGGACAGCAGCCCACCCACAGCTCCCAGCTCCCCCCCTGCTGAAAAAGCCTGCACCCCTCTACATGAGATCCAGCCTGTGGAACTTCCTAAGTGCAACATCAGCAACACAAACACGGGTACGCCTGAACTTCAGCGAGCCTGATTTTTAACATTTATTTATTTATTTTTCTCCTGGCTGCGTGTGTGGATGTTCCAAGTAAACTAACCGTGCTTTTGTTTTCACAGAAGAGCTGATAGACTCTGGTCTGTCTGTTCTGAGCCTGGAGTCTGGAGAAACACACCCAACACACTCCACCAGCAGTGACAAGGTCAGTGTGAGAATCAATAGATGTGCAAATGGAGGGAAGTGCAAATGGATGGGGATTTAAAAGGATGAGGAGAGCAATATATCTGCACTGCAGCTGCGTATTATCCAATTTTAATTCAGCCCCTCTGAGTCTTGATGGAGTGCAGGAGAAATAGTCTCGTGAGAATGGTTTTTCATTTCATCTTCCACCTGAACAGATAATGTATGATCGTTCATACTGAGGAGGGAATGAGAAAATACAGTAAATGTAAAATACAGAAAGTTGCAGTTGGTAATTTTTATCCTTTTCTCTCTCTCTTTTTTTGTTTGTTTTTGCAGGCACGAGAACATGGGAAAATTGTTTAACTGACGTTTTCTGGATATAAACACTGAAACCAAAACACAGCATTTGGATGCATTATTTTTGCTTCAAAGTAGCTCGTTTGCAATACTGTTTATAGCTTACAGGCAAAACTGTGGGAGCTGAATTTTTGTCTCAAATGTGACACATGAATGGTGAGACACCTTTTTCCCGCTCGATTATTATTAGTGTTTTTTTTATTTTTTTTAACATCAGAGCACTTTATGTGTACAAAAACATGTGTACTGACATCTCTTTCTGTATGGAAGTACGCTGCTTGAGTGCAATATCACTGAATGTTTACACATTTGTATGAAAATGTTGAGGTACATATCAGGAGGCTAGCTAATCGGTTAAATTTAGATAGCCCTTGACATTAAACCAAGCCACAGTCTAATTACTTAGTGCCTGATTCTGCCTTAGAGGTATATTTTTTTAATTTATTTAGCAGGGACGATGCACAATAAATATATTGTACCGGATATAGCTAAAAGCTACTTTTCAGCTGTAGTCCCTGAGTAACTTTTCAGTAACTGAATAAAGATTGTAATAGATGACGATACATAGTTGCAGACCTCCAGTAGAGTTTTTATTTCTACATTTAAAAGTAGTAGACAAATGGATATTATTAACTGCTTCCAGCATCCATAAATAGCCTTTGGGAAGTATGAAATCAGTATATTGTTAAAACGCACATTTGAACCCTAATGTCTTTGGCCAGTGACCAAGACAGTCCAAAGTTTACAAAATGTTACTACTGACATGCTGTAAATGTTTCTGCTATTAAGAGCATTGAAAGGAGCGCGCCACTGATTTTTGATATCAAGACAGGAGCCCGATGATGTCATACTCTGGTTAAGATTATCTGAATTTGGGGATGACAGCTTTGCAGTCATGAAACCTCACACCTCTGCCCATAAGTGGCAGAAATCTACTTGATTTAAATTTGGCCTTTTTACTTATCAAGGTCGTCTCCTTGTGCAGCTCTGAGCCACATCCCCTGCGCCTGCTGTTTTTACATTGCTTTGTGGTCCGACTACTTTTCACCGGGGAAAATAGAGGAAGTATACATTTGTGTCACAGTGTGGGGGGATCAGCACTGGGGAACTGGATCTATGTCCCAGAGGGCAAAGGGCAGCCTGAAAAAGGAAAATTTACCCTGTCAGAGCCTTAAGGCAGGACATCCAGAACATGCTCGTTTCTTCTTTCTTTCACAGTCATGAGCGTTGTGCACCATGAATATGTCCCCCACACTCAGACGATCGGCACAGAGGTCTACTGTAACATCCCGAGGCGTCAGAAGTAAAACATTCAGTCCAAACCACTGGGACTTGGATCAGATGGCGCCCTGAAAATGCCTTTCTTTTTCTAAAAGCCTTAACTCAATTAAAAAAGAAAAACGAAAAGAAAAAAAGCAGCCATGCTGGAGTAGCTTGCAGCGCTGCCCAAGGAGGCCATCTAGAAGAGCCAATTTCCTCATTCTGTTTAATGCAGAACTAGGTTTAGAAAGAAATAAATGCGATCCAGTTGTAAGATGACATAACTCACTAGTGTACTCCTTTATTGTTAAAATAAAAAGCCAGCTGACGGTAAAGCATAACACATTTGGATGTTTAAATATTGATTTATAACACTGCAGAGTAGAAACCTTGCACACTATTGTTGTGTTCCCTAAAGCACAGTTTTACAGCTGAATCCCGAAGATCCGGTCTTCCTCACTCTTCTTATGTTATGTTTTGGCACTTAATTTAGGATTGTAATGTACTATGTTAGCTGATTCTAAACAAACAGTGTACAAATTCTGGTCTTTGGGCCCCTGTGAGTGGGGGGGAAAAAATATAATTCAAGCATTTTTTGAGTTGGGTGAATTGAGAATGCCGGGATTCAGCTAAAATTCCCTTTTGTATTATTTGTCCTGTATTATGTTTGTGAAAGAGAGCCTAATATCTTTCAAGCTTCCCTTGATTAATATCTTAGCCAGTTGTTGTGCCTTGCATATTGGCTTCTTCAGCTATTGAAGGTGTACTTAAATTTATGGTTTGTATATTAACTGCCTCATTTATTTTATTTATTTGCCTATCCATTTCGGACAGGAGAATGTTACCAAGTAAATCTCAAGCTGTGTTTCTCTGAGTCGTATTTTTTTTCTCCTTTTTAAAATTTATTGCCAGCCTTTGATGCTATTTTGGTAAGAAGCGACAGTTATATTAAGAAGTTTTTGGCTTTCGTCAATGCCACCGTGTAGTAAATAGTTATGTAACTGTAAGTGGAAAACACAGCAGACATGCTCTGAGCTGCGGTCTTGTCTGTGTCTACGGAGGTTACATAAAATCAAAAAAGCAAGAAGCGAGCCACAACGTTTGAAGCCAGTCCATCCGTTAAGAAAGAAGGGGCCTTATTCTGTATTATATGTGGATAGCAATCTATCAGTAGAAGGAAACATCTGTGTGAAAAACAGGTCACTGTTTCCCTTTGAAGTATTTTTAAAATCTCCCTGTGAGATTTCATGTAGTGGAAGAAACACAATCATAGAGCATTTTATATTTAAGTGTTTAGTCCTTGTTCATTCACTTTGTTTAACATCTGCACTGTCACCTTCCTTAAATGTCAAGTTTCTGAGGTGAGATGAGTTGGTTGGCGGGGAGTATGCAAGTACCCCCCACGTGTGTTCTCGCACTGTTGTAATTAGATGTGCCTGTGTATGCGTGTGTGCTGCATTTCAAGGTGTGATCCCAGCCTTTTTTGCTGCTCAGAGTACTCGCTCTAATTTGAGTCCATGTGCAACATGTCTTCATTTGCTGAACCGCTCGGAACGAAGCATACGCCACATGAATAAATTTTCTGTGTTTCAAAGGCTCCGGCTGGCATCGTTTTGTCACCCTGTTCACTTCACTTTACTTGTGCACCTGAGCAAACGCACAGTAGTCGGTGAATTTGTTGCGTGCAGGTTTTTCTTTTGTTTCGTCACTCTTAACACGTTATCGGAGGACCAGTGCGATAAAGACAGAGCACGCTGCAGCACCAACGGTCCATACAGTTTGACTTCTTGCCTACAGACTCTGCTTTCATGTTTAATTTGATTAACTTCACACGGGTTCTCTGAAGAGTTGTTGCATTAGACACAGCTTTCTCTCAGCCCTGCAGGTGGGATCCCATAGGTGCTACTGTTTTAATTATCTCCTCACAAGTCTGTCTCCATGGCAGCGCTCTACCTTTGAGGCCTTTGAGCTTGTGACCTGCTGTACACTGTTTTTACTTTTTAACACAAGAGCACAAAAAATAGGTAGCTGTAACACTTCTGGATCACTTTAATGCTATAAGCTAACTAATGGTTTGAAGGGTTTGACACAATAGTGCACCAAATTGGGGGTGTTGATATTATGGAAATAAGACCTGTAGGCTGTGTTAGAGGATTGAAGTGCAGTGTGGGATTATGTCAGCTGTGCACTGCAGTGGAGAGAGGCTTACTATCCTGAGGAAAATTTAAAAAAAAAAGAGATCAACATTTGGTCCAAGCAGCTTTAAAGCAAGACGATGTCGAGGCCTGTCATCCTTTTTTGGTTTGCAAAAACACCCTTCTGTTTTGGTGCTTTGGTTTGGCGTTTGCCTATGAGAAAAGAGTCGCTACTCCAGGCTGTTTCATAGAGGTAAAAGCAGGACTTCTACTAGTTCTTCTGGGCAAATACAATTACACCTAAACATCAATACTACTTATCTGTCAGTCAGCAACATGCTGGTATACCTGCTGCTGATTGACTCCATTCAGTTTGGCAACTTTAGTTTATGTGAAAGCTGAAATGTGGGAACAAGATTGTGGTTTGTTTGGGTTTTTTTTTTTTTAGGAAAAGTTTGGGAAAGTTTCCTGACTGGGGTCAGTAACTTCCTGAAGTCTCAGTAAGTACTAGGTAATAAAACATAAACGCTCCTTAAAAAACACAACCTTTTGCACAAATGAATCAAACAAGATGTAATCTGTTACTTATTGACCTTTGTCTGTGGTTACAAAGGTCAGCGTCACTGAAGAATAAACTTAAACAAGCAAATTGCTCAAAACAAAACTGTGTGGCACTGTTGTTTGTTGTCTATAAGTCGCTCCTTTGCTTTACTGCTCGTGTCAGCAACGCCTCCTATTAGCCAAGGTTTAACAGTGATTTAACAGTCGGAGGCTCTCAAGGTGTTTCATTACAGCTGATGGATGTCGGTCAAGCGGAAGTGATGTCCAGTCTGGACCTGTGACCCTAACACAACCTGACACGGTGTCTGTTTCTGCTGGGTTTGTTCATCATCTCCCTCCAGCCCGGTCATAGTTAAGCATGTAACAACCACGCCTCGGCAGCTGCCGTGATCAAGGAGAGTGCCCTCGCCCCTCCTCTTTCTCCTGGCCTGGAAACAAGAGGCCTGGGGCGACAAGGTGCACATATGCTGTTTGTCATACTGATCTGAGGTCAGCTTAGCATCATGCAATAAATCTAGTTAAAACCCTCTGGTGTATTTGTCTTTTTTAGTCTCGTGACATTGTTTGAATCAGCTGGTGGCTTTTTACCTACACACAGCTTCATTTTCCTTTTGCATCAGCTCCTAATAGAGCCACACGTTTGCCCTTTTGTTAATGGAAGAAAGCTCTTGCTTTCTTCCTTCTCATTGTCACTACTGCAAAACAGCATCTCCTTTCTTTTGTGATGGTGTCTTGTTTAAATGCTGCGTTGATGGAGCTTTCATTCCCTAAGGTTATTCTTGGAAAGGTCTCTGCAACTAACCGGGTGCTTAACATTCACCATGCAAAATGATGTTTGTGAGCCTTTTAAACACTAAGTACCACTCTGACATTCATCTACAGAACGTCTGATAAACCTAAATGTGTTAAAAAGATCACTTACGGTGGCAGCTTCATGTGGTCCAAGTTCAGTGTTTTAGCTAGTCTGGGGGGGGGGGCCCTTAAACCAGCGTTCTTTTGATTGGCCGACCTTTGTAAACAGACGTTTGAGCAATAGATGGGTGAGTTTTTGAAGATGCCTGAAATAACTAAATTAGCTATTTTCCCTCTGATTACTAATACAGGAGTTAACTAGGAAAAAACACCAGCAAAGAAACAGAGCATTTAAAGCAGTTCATGCAGGTAAAAATCTTCCTTAAGGAGAAGAAAGGAGGGAATGTGTTGAAGAAATGCTATCTTGGCCTTAAGACAACCATTCTGATGGCTAAAGATCCAAACGGGACACAAGAAAAAAAGAAATGCTATCTCGAAACAATTGCCTATCATCTGGAGTCAGTTAAGCTCTCTGCTTTTTTAAAAAACAAAAAATAAATAAACCCCCAAATATTTGTGCATATCACACAGGGATGGCCCCCAAAACATGCTTGTTGCACTGATAGACTAACTCCACTGCATTGGGTTCAGTAGTTAAACTGTTTATGTGAAAGCTATTTTGGGTTCAGTAATAGAGAAAATGTAAACCCTGATTTTTAAAAAATACATTTTTAGACACTCTTCTAGAGAAAAGGGGGACACTGTCAAACAATTTCCTTTTCTTCTTACCAATGCATATATTCCTCAGGCTTTTAGCAGTAATAGTAATTATATATACAGCTATATATATATCAATGATTTAATAGCTGCAGTTTCACTTTCCTGTGGTCGTGCAAACCATTATTTGATTTCAGTCACAAGACAAATTATTCTCATATGACACTGTTATGTAACATGTGACTGATTTCACTTTAGATAATGTGATCATCTACCTTGGTGAGGGGGCGGGGGGTTCAAGAGTCATGAGGTCAGATGCTGTGTCCTGACTCAGATGTAGCTTTCCTGCAATAACTGTCACCACAGATAAACTCCTTCATCAATAGGCTACCCGCTGCTCCTTTCATATATCACAAAGCCATAAGAGGCACTGGAAACACATTTGCCAAAGTCATCCTATAAACTAAGGCCAGTGTCACTGAGTTATACACTCTCTGTTGTCTTCCTGTACACAAGGCTTGCTATGTGATTGTGTGTGTGTGAGTCTGCTGTCTCCCATGATGAATGGGCTTCCCATTTAGCACAGCGGCACACATACCTCAGCTTCTGGTTCTGCAACTCTGTCACATTAAGAAAACAGTGCATGTCATCACCGTTTACATCATTATAGAGGTACTGGCTGCACGGAGGAAATCAAGTGGTTTTATTTTCGGTGTGATAGTGAGTGACGCTGGTCACAGCCAGCACGGAAACCTTTCAGCCAAACAGGCCTTTTCAGAGGGAGCTGGATCAAAATAGCACCGAACGGCATTGTGTAATCTGTTCTTCTCTCTTTTGTACAATGTAACAACAGAGCTCGCAAATCAATACACCTCCCTCACATGCTGCTGAGAGAGCGCACGGGGTGGTTGGTCTTATTTCCACTTCATAGTTCACCACATGTGACTGTGTGAAGTGGTTTCAGTGAGAGCTGCAGCATACCAAAACTGTGGTAGACTGCGAGGCGAAGGCTTCTCTTTCTCTGAGAGAAGCCGACAGTCCCTCTGATCACAGGCTGGACGGTTCACTCGGGTGATTCAAAGAGCCCAAATCTGATTAAACCCCAAGAACAAAGGCTGACTCTAAACTGAGTCCTCTTTGCGCCGGCGCTGCTGTTACTTCTGTCGAACCTACGCCTTCATATCAATCAATAATTATACTTGCACTCCAAAGAGTTCATGTAAATCACTCTCTATATAAAACACAGTGTAAGATGTTAGGAAAAAAACTATCATTTATTTGAATCTATAGTATCCATTATGGCTCTAAATAAATAAAATATTGGTAACATACAGGATAATGTCAGTGAATAATTTTTTAGTTACATACATCTGTTATAAAACCATAGAAATGAATCATTTTAGGATGTTTATTTGTAACCTTGTGATATTGTTCCTCCTATCATACATACTATAGCTTTAATAAAAATCATCTAATTATGCTAAAAGTTAAGTCAAGGCCCAAAGATGTATGCCTGCCTTATATGTACACAACCAAATACAGAATACATTTACATGGTTATATGCACATACCTGAGCATAACTCAATAACGTAGGTCCTTCTACTTGGTGTCCTGGGTTTAATCCATGAAAGGAGACACGGCCTATGTGTTAAAAATGCAATAATGTAGTATTGATTTAAACTGGCTGAAGAATGGCAGTGATGTTAGGAGCTGTATGCCTGCAAGACATATTTAGGTCCTGCAAAACCAAAAGCATCTCTGGAGCCTCTTTCCTATTCATTTAACAATATATATGTAACACACACAAAAGGATTCTACCATCTTACATATATATTGTTAAACGAATAGGAAAGAGTGTATATATATATATATATATATATCAGTGTTGCACACATACAGGCAGGTTAGTGGCCTCAGAAGCTGTCCGAGGTAAAGTAGACACACACTGATTTAAGGCATACAGATGGCCTAAAACAAAAGAAAAAGGAAACGCATAGTTAAGGGGGTACAGGGTCCGCGGGGGAGCTCTCCTCTTTTCCCGGTAATAAAAGCAAGATGTCTGTTAACATGTGCAGTTCAGTATCCATACGGGGCGCTGCAAATTCACTTGAAAGACGTGAGTTATCCGACCTGCGGTACTGAGGATGTAAACCACTCCTTTTTGGGGGTGGGGGGTAGCTGTTTTAAATATGGGGGGTCCTAAGGGTGGTGTGGTGATGGGGATTAGGACCGACCAGTCTCTTCCATGGCCACCTCGGCTCACCGTTCAGGTCGGAGGAAGAGTGATAGCGTCTTCGGGCTCGCGCTTTTCTGTCACCCCGCGCGCCTCCCTCTCCCCCTTGTCCTCAGCGACAGACTCCCTCGCGGTGCTCGACGGGATGTAGTGGCTCACG